CCTAAACCCTAATGCCCTAACTGTATGTGGCGGAGTGCACTGTATTCAAGCCTGAGAAACAAACCCTAAGTAGCAGACCCTGTATCCCTAACCGAAAGTCATTGATGCAAGGGTTTAGGGTTTAGGGTTTAGGGTTTACCTGGCCTCTTTAGAGGGACGAGATGAAACCCCGCAGCCTTTGCTAGGCTTACGCTTTCTTCTGCCTCTCTTACAATTTCCTGCAGCAAACCACAGGTGAATGTGAGGGTTTAGGGTTTAGATTAGGGTTTAGGGTTTAGATTAGGGCTTAGGGTTTAGGGTTTAGGCTTGGGGCGCAGGGCTCAAGTCGCCGCCTGCGGCTTAGGGTTTAGGGTTTAGGGTTTAGGGTTTAGAGGCACCTCGCGAGGTTTAGGTGAAAACTTTAAACCCTCTCGTCTAGACGGAGGAAAGACAACATGCAGCAGCAGCACGCGGGGTGGGGCGCTCTCCTTGTCCCCAGCAGCAGCAGCAGCAGCAGCAGCAGCAGCAGCAGTAAACGGACGCTTAGACTCCGCTAGAGGGGCCCCCAGGCGAGGCAGCAAGAAGAGAGAGATGCTGTTTAAATTTTTGTTTGAAGTTGGTGAGGGAGAAGCACAAAAAAGAGATGCAGCTGCTGGCTGCTGCACTCTGCTGCTGCTGCTGCTGCTGCTACTGCTGCTGCTGCTGCAGTTGTTGTGGTTGTTGTCCCTGCTGCTGCTGTTGCTGCTGCAGTTGCTGTTGTAAGGGCTACTGGTTAAATAGTTGCGAGGGTTCTTGCAGGGCTTCACTCGAAGGAGGTCGAGGGCCCCCCTTCCCCGTGCTGCTGCTGCTGCTGCTGCTGCTGCTGCTGCTGCTGCTGCTGCTGCAGCTGGGGTGTATAGACAGCTGAGAATAAAGCGGCTCATAGGAATTCATAGTTAATAAAACAAAAAAAATTATTTTATAATCAAGCACTGTACACACATCGTTCAAGAAGCAAAGCTGCTTCCACCAGGGCCCCCGAAACCCTAAACCCTAAACCCTAGGCCTAGGCCACAGAAGAACTCCCACACCCTAGACCCTAAACCCTAAACCCTAAAAGCAAATAATAATTCCTAGTTGAATATCTCTCTAGATCTATCTAACTATTTAAAACCATCAAGCGCGGGCCTCCAAGCTAAGGGGGCCCCCAAGGGGCCCCTTGGGGCCCCAGGGGCCCCCCCTAAGGGGGGCCCCCAGCAGAAGGGCCCCCAGCACCCTAAACCCTAAACCCTAAACCCTAAACCCGAACATATATATATATATATATATGGGTTTAGGGTATATATATATATATACCCTAAACCCTAAACCCTAAACCCTAAACCCTACACCCTACACCCTAAACCCTAAACCCTTTGGGGGGGCCCCCCTAGGGGGCCCCTCTAGAGCGAATATATGGTGTGTTAATGCTCGCTGAGGCTGTTGGGTATTGTTTTTGTGCAAATGTTTCGACGTGGAAGCATAAAAAGAAGATGAGTAAGAGTGTCTTTATGTAGACAAGAAGGAGATTTAAAGGGTTTATAGAAGGAAAGGATTGAACGAAGAGGCTAAGACTGAAATAAACAAACTTAAACAGAAAAATGAAAGTAGAAGAAGACGTCTGAAGCTGAAGGTGGACTTGGAGCAAACCCTAAACCCTAAACCCTAAACCCTAAACCCTAAACCCTAGTCGGATAGCGAGCCGTTTCAAGGCTATCGAGAACAGGAGAAGCATTCTGAAGCTCTGTCTTGCTGAGATTGCTGCATGCATTTTTATTTGCATGCATGCATTTCTATTAGGGCCCCATAAAGCGATGGGCAAATACTCTAGAGTATCGATGCATGCAGCAAAATGAAGCTTTATGTGCTTGCATGCGGGGCTGTCTTGCTTGTCGAGCTGCACCAAGATGCTCTTCAACGCCTCTCAGCCTCTCCCTGCATGCACCAGCCCGATGCATGCAGCATGCATGCATAGCCCCAAAAAGATAGTAGGAGAGGTTTATCAGTTTCTTTTGGGGGCTTCTTATCGTAGATCTTCGTTAAAGACATTCTTCTGCTGCAATCAAGGAGCTCCAGTGTAAACTCTGAAAAGTAGAGGGGTTTAGAGGGTGAAGAACTTCTTGAAAGAGTATGAAGGAGATTTCTCGCATAAGCAGCAGATAATCAAAAGACGCATTTCTACAGCAAAGTTAAGAAGGAGTAAGGAAGCTGTTGTGGTAAGCTAACTACAGAGTAGAGGAGTATACAAATATATATATATATATATATATATATATAGACTTCAGCAGCCCCCCCCCCAGCAGAAAAAGATAAGAAGAGAACAGACGATAGGTTGGTGCAGGCTTCAGCGTTCAGAGAGGCCTGTGCATGCACTGAGCTTGAAGGGAATGAATGTATAGTAGAAAGAAGCAGTTTTGATGATGTTTCTCTTTGGGTGCTTTTAATAAACCGAAAAAATATTACTTTAGTAGAAGTCGGAACCAGTTGAGTAATTTAGCAGCAGCAAACAGCAGATATGCATTCTTAGTTTGCAGCAGCTATGAAGTCTCTGTAGACCTTGAGGTAAGAAGATGAGACAAACGAAGTCTAACAGCTACATTATAAACATGCGTTTGCATTTTAATATATTTCTTTACAAGCCGACAGAAGTGTTGTTGTCTTGGATATATAAAAAATAGTTTCTTATGCTTGGATCTACACACGTCTTTATAAACAAACACTTTTAGGGTTTGTTTATGAAGATATAATCAAACCCTAAAAATGTTTGTTATAATGTAACACACATTTTTAGGGTTTGAATATATCTTCATAAACAAGTTAATTTGTCGGCCTACATCGGCGCTGAACCCCCAGCATGAAGATGTCATCATACCATTATTAAAAGGCTGTTCAAATATTGTAGGGCGCTGCCTACACCCCCTCGTTTTCTTCTTATAATAAAATTAAAGTATATTGATTGCTATTACGAGTAAATTGAAGATATGGGGGTCTTAAACGCATGCAGAGCCACGCGTGATAGTCTAGAGAAGCAACGAAAAAAGAGTTTATCTTCTCCTTAAACCCACCTCTCAGACGCATGCATGCACTGTCTTCAATACAACAGAAGAGGCTACAAACAAAGGGGTGCACAGAGCTGCTTAATATGGGTCTTGTCTCTTACTGATCTTCTTAGAAGTTTGTTTAAAACTGTTTTGCCTCACGAGAAGAGAAGCTGAATTTTTCTATCTATTTATCATACCCCCGTCTCCAACTAATCTTTTGCTGTTATCTACGTCTCCTTCTTTGAGTATCTCTCCCAAGGCATATCAATAGACAGTATATACACATATACACAATATACAATAGACATTATTTTTATTTATTTATTTACTCTATAGAAGAGCTGAACGCTGGTCCTCGTGAAGAGGGTAGGCTATCCCTGCTTCAAACGCTAATGTATTATAATGCTGCAAGTCTCTTACAGCTTATTGCTTGTCTTCTATTAGACTAAGACCCCTGACTATAAGCTAAACCCACTTAAAACTATGATCAGACAAAGGGGGCCCCAATAAACTGTGAAGGGGGGCCCCTGGCTTCTGCATGCAATAACCAGCTGCAGCTACAACAGCTGATCTGAGTATGCATGTAAAGCCCCTATCATTCGCTATTACTCATTTAAGTTTTTTATCTTGTGCCTCTTTAAGTCGTTACTGCTGCAGTGTTTGCCTTGCAGCAGAAGCTGCAGCAAGCTGCTGCTGCTGCTGCTGCTTCTATTGCTTCTTCTCTCTGTAGCAGCCCCAAGCCTCTACGATGGTGTATGCTGAGGTATTCATATCAGCACATAACTTCTACATTCCCCGTTGAAAGACTAGTTGAGTATTATAATTAATATTATTATTATTGTTATTATTATTATAATCCTATTATTACTGTTATTAATATATATATATATATATAATATTGCTTTTTTAATTACTTTTTATCTAGAAGGCAGCCTAAAGACCGCGAATTCGTTAAAAAAGCATAGACAGCAGAAACTCCTCCCCAGCGCATGCTTCACCACTGCTTCTGCTGTTTGTTTGTGCTGCAGCTTAGTGCTGCTTTATGAACAAAGAGCGGCATTAAGATAAGACAGAGGCTTTGTTGTACTGTATGCATACTGACTAAGCAAATTATTACAGAACTTGTGTTGTATTGCATGCACCTGTCGATACACCCCAAGTATATCGTTACTCGTTTAAATATAAATATTTCTAGCAATTATTTTTTTCTACTAAGAGTTGATCAGCAGGGTTTAGGGTTTAGGGTTTAGAGGCATCTCCTGTGTGGGTGTATTGCCTTTCTTTGGCTGCTTCTTATGTGTAGATATTCTTTAAAATAAGAGAAATAAAGAAAAATTAAAAAGATTAAGAAGAAGTGCGGAGTGCAGCGAGACAAACAAAGCCAAAAAGCAAAGAAGCAAAGGCTGTGAGTTGCTGCTGCTTAGAGAGCGCCGATATTAAATAAAGAAGGCAGTAAAATAAATAAAATAAAATAAATAAAGAAAAAGAATTCCTTTTTATAAAGAAGAAAATCAAAGAAAATATCATCTGCTTATATTTTATTGCTGCTTTGGGGCTGAAGCATATAATTGAGAGCTGAACATACACCCGACGGCAGCAGCAAGAAGCCGCTGTCTTTAGAGAAGCTTTCTCTTTGTTTTTCTTTTTTGCAGTATTTATTTACTCGTTTTCTACGCCTACAATCCACAGCGCGCTCCATATTTACCCCTGGGCGCCAACAAGCAGCAGCAGCAGCAGCAGCAGCAGCTTCGGCAGCAGCAGCAGCAGCAGCAGCAGCAGCAGCAAGTCTGCTTCTGTGTTTTTTCTTGTTTGCTGTTGGTTTTAATATATTTTACAAGCGTCTTACAGCATTGTATATACGGAGAGAAGCCCTCATTGTTTTATGAGCTGCATAAGATAAAATATATATATTTTCTTGCAGTGTACGTACACCCGAAAACCTCTTAATAAATTATATTCATCATGGAAGTAGAGACAGCTGATTACTACGCTGTCCTCGGCGTCTCTAAGGGGGCAACAAACGAAGAAATACGCAGAGCTTACAGAAGATTAGCAATACAGTGGCACCCAGGTATTTGCGGTGTATAGGCAGCTCCTCGTTTGCAGCAGCATCTCCCTATACACCCCAAATATGCCTTCCACACACTCATTAAGCTACCAGCACTATACTCGCGCACTAGCAACCAGAAGTTGCTTCAGCAGCACCTGCAGCAGCAGCAGCACCTACACCAGCAGCACCTACTGCAGCAGCACCAGCACTAGCAGCAGCAGCACCTGCACTAGCAGCAGCAGCACCACCAGCACGAATAGCAGTAGCAGCACTAACAGCAGCACCAGAAGTAGCGGCAGCACTAACAGCAAAACCAGCAGCAGCAGCAGCACCAACAGCAGCATCACCAGCAGCAGCAGCATCACCAGCAGCAGCAGCATCACCAGCAGCAGCAGCATCACCAGCAGCAGCAGCACCAACAGCAGCAGCAGCAGCAGCAGCACCAACAGCAGCAGCAGCACCATCACCAGCAGCACCAACAGCAGCAGCAGCACCACCACCAACAGCAGCAGCAGCAGCAGCACCAACAGCAGCAGCAGCACCAACAGCAGCAGCAGCAGCAGCACCAACAGCAGCAGCAGCAGCAGTAGGTGCGCATTGTGTTTGTGGTTTGTGTACAGACAAGAACAGAGACAGACAGCAAGAAGCCACTGAGAAGTTCAAAGCGATCTCAGAGGCCTACGAAGTGCTGTCCAATGAAGAGAAGCGTCGTCTCTACGATGGTCTGCAAACCCTCATAAACCCTTATAAACCCTTATAAACCCTAATAAACCCTAATGAACCTTTATAAACCCTTATAAACCCTAATAAACCTTTATAAACCCTAATAAACCTTTATAAACCCTTATAAACCCTTATAAACCCTTATAAACCCTTATAAACCCTTATAAACCCTAATAAACCCTTGTAGACCCTTATAAATCCTTGTGAACCCTCATAAACCCTAATAAACCCTCATAAAGCTTTATAAACCCTCATAAACCTTGATAAACCCTCATAAACCCTAATAAACCTTTATAAACCCTCATAAACCCTTATAAACCCTTATAAACCCTTATTAACCCTTATAAACCCTATTGAACCTTTATAAACCCTCATAAACCCTAATAAGCCCTAGTATGCTTGTGTGTTTCTGCTGCTGCTGCAGTTAGCTGCTCACAGCCATCTGGAGGCCCCGGGCTGCGGCGCAGCAGCTCCGCAGCAGCAGCAGCAGCTGCAGCAGCTGCAGCAGCAGCAGAGTTTGCTCGCTTCCACGAGGCATTTCAGTTTAGTGACGCCCAGCGCATATTCGAAATGGCCTTTGGAGGGTCTCCTTTTGGACGGTGAGGGTTTAGGGTTTAGGGTTTAGGGTTTAGGGTTTAGGGTTTAGGGTTTTGAGGGTTTATGGTTTTGAGGGTTTAGGGTTTAGGGTTTAGGGTTTAGGTTTTCGGAAGCTGGTGCTGGAGTTTAGACGCGAGGTGTAAACAATCGACGGCTTGAGTGCAGGAGGGGGTTTGCGCCTGTGCAGACCCTAAACCCTAAACCCTAAACCCTAAACCCTTGGTGTTGTGTTTTAGGAGTTTCTTCAACGACGCAGACGGTTTGCTGGGTGGGATGAGTCAAAGACAAGGAATAAACCCTCAAGCAGCTTATCAGCGCTCAAGGACTTACAGTAACGCTCACAGTAAACCCTAAACCCTAAACCCTAAACCCTAAACCCTGAGCCCTAAACCCTAAGCCCTAAGCCGTAGGCTGTCTGCAGCGGCGCGCCTTCTCTTCTTTTTCTCTGCATCTGTAACGCACCTCAGAGCACTCGCCGACTTACAACTTACCATTTACCCTTAAGGGTTTAGGGTTTAGGGTTTAGGGTTTAGGGTTTAGGGTTTAGGGTTTGCGGTGCAGCGGGAGACGGGCGCCACCATATGCAGCACGCTGCTTCCTTCAGCAGTGCTCACAGCGATATATTCGGCGATTTCTTTAATGGTGCATTTGGCGGCCTTGGTATTCAAACCCTAAACCCTAAACCCTAAACCCTAAACCCTAAACCCTAAACCCTAAACCCTAATTTGTGGTTTTTTTTTCGCTTTAGGAGTAGCTGTAGGTGTTGTCTGGCTTCTCTGACTCTGCTTTTTTCTGCTGTTGCTGCTGCTGTTGCTTCTGCTGTTGCTGCTGCTGCTGGTGGTATGATTGGATAACAACAGGAGGCATGCAGCAGCAGCAGATGCAGTCTTCAGGAGCTTCAGGGTTTATGATGTCTTCGTCTTCTTCTTCGTCTTTCGGCGGAGGGTTTTCTCGCTCTGTTTCGTCGCACACAAAAATCGTCAACGGTCGAACAATCACCGTCACTGAAGAACTCACCACCACCCCAGACGGTATCCTGCTGCTGCTGCTGCTGCTGCTGCTGCTGCTGATGCTGATGCTGCTGATGATGCTGCTGATGCTGATGATGACGATGATGCTGCTGATGATGATGATGCTGGGGATGCTGTGGATGCTGATGTTGCTGCTGCTGCTGCTGATGATGCTGCTGCTGATGCTGCTGCTGATGATGCTGCTGCTGCTGCTGCTGCTGATGATGATGATGCTGTTGCTGATGTTGGTGTTTATCTGATGATTCTGCTGCGGTTGCTGCTGCTGTTGCTGCAGCTTTATGTATATTGTTTGCATATTGTTTGCATGCGACTATCACTTGGCTGTGGAGGTGCTGCTGCTGTCTTCCTTATCTGTTTATTTGCTGCTGCTGCTGCTGCTGCTGCTGCTGCTGCCTCTCTTATCTTTTTATTTATTTGCTGCTGCTGTCTGCTTTCTCTATTTATTTGCTGCTGCTGCCTTTTGTGTTAATTTATTGATATCTTGCTGCTATCACCTTTACTCGTTTTTTTATTTTTATTTATTTATATTTATATATTTATATTTTATTTATTTATTTATTTATTTATTTATTTATTTATTTATTTATTTATTTATTTATTTATTCTGTAGGAAGAACGCATCGCACCGTTACGCAGACAGAAGATGATGGTCGGGGGGGTGTAAGAGTTTATCAAACAGATCCCAGCAGCAGCAGCAGCAGCAGCAGCAGCAGGAGGCTGCGCTACTAGGCAGCGGAGAAGAGGGTTTAAGGTTGAGGGCTTAGGGTTTAGGGTTTAGGGTTTAGGGTTTAGGGTTTAGGGTTATGCTCGCGTCTCAACGGGGAACCTCTGCACAGAGGGGCTTGCCTTGCAGCAGGCGAGATGCAGCAGCAGCAGCAGCAACAGCAGCAACAACAACAACAGCAACAGCAGCAGCAGCAGCAGCGGCAGCAACAGCAGCAGGAACAGCAACAGCAACAGCAGCAGGGTTTTTGTGCGGCATTTAAATTACATTCGAATAGGCTGCGGAGGTGATATTAACGTACATTTATTTTAACTGGTCTGCTGCTACAGCTCTTGCTGCTGCTGCTGATGCTGCTGCAGCTGCAGATGAGGCTGCTGCTGAGGCTGTTGCTGCCAGCAGCAGCAGCAGCTGCAGCAGCGGCGGCCTTTGTAATCGCAGCGCGAGCAGGAGCATCATCGACAAGATCAGAAGCACCAGCATCATCATCAGCAGCAGCAGCAGCAGCAACAACAACAGCGGGAGCAGGTGTGGTTGCTGCTGCTGGAGCAGCAGCCGCTGTTGCTGCAGCAGCAGCAGCAGCAGCTGCAGCAGCTGCTGCTGCTGCAGCAGCTGCTGCAGCAGCAAAATATTTTGGCTTTTTTCGGTAGCCACCAGGCGTATTTTGAGTTTATAATTTTCATCTTTGCTTCGTTTGTCTGCCCCCTGGTTATTGTTCATTATAATTTGCTGCTTTGCAGATGTGAAGCAGCAGCAGCAGCAGCAGCAGCAGCAACAACAGCAGCAGCAACAGCAGCAACAGAAACCGCACCTACAACAGCAACAGCAGCAGCAACTGCTGCAGCAGCTCGTACTTGCTCCCTCGAGGTGGTAGTGGGAGGCGCTCAGCAGCAGCCGTCGATGCTGCAGCAGCAGCAACAGCAACAGCAGCAGCAGCTGCTGCAGCAGCAACAGCAGCAGTAATTGCGTTAAAGCAGCAACGACAGTTGCTGCTGCTGCGCCATCCATGGGCGCAAGTGCTGCAGAAGCTGCAGCAGCAGCACTGCTGCAGAAGCAAACCAGTAGCATCAACAGCAGCAGCAGCAGAACCGAAACGGCAGCAGCAGCAACAGCAGCAACAGCAGCAGCTGCATATCTTCATGAGATATGGTTGGGTTGCTGTTATTGCTGTTTGTTTGTTGTATTATATCTAATTATTATCATTACTATTTAATTATTATTATTTAATTATTATTATTGTTGTTATTTAACTTATTTATTATTTATTATTATTGTAGCGGTGTATATTGAGCTGATCTATTATAATGAGAAACGACAACGAGTGCTGCTGCTGCTGCTGCTGTCTTTGCTGCTGTTCGTGCTCCTTTCTCTGCTAGTGCTGCTGCTGCTGTTATCTCTGGTGTTGCTGCTGCTGCTTTCTCTGCTAGTGCTGGTGCCGCTGTCTCTGTAGTGCTGCTGCTGCGGTCTCTGCTGCTGCTGCTTCTGTCTCTGCTGCTGCTGCTGCTTCCTTCTCTGCTATTGCTGCTGCTGCTGCTCTCTCTTTCATTTTTTTATATTTTATCTCTCTCTGTTTGTTTATATTTTGTCGTTTGCGTCTTCAATCGCCGCACTCTATCTTTTATTTTATTTATTTGTTTCGTCTCTGTCTGTCTCTGCTGCTGCTGCTCCAGTGCACGCGTGCGGTGTACGTACACCTCGCAGCAGCAAACAGCAGCAAAATAATTATACGCACAGCCCCTCACTCAAACCAGCAGAGCCGCCCTTTGCTAACCCCCTGTAGCTAGCTAGCTAGCTAGCTAGCCAGCTAGCTGAACACCGGTGTAGCATGCGAGCTAGCTAGCTAGCCAGCTAGCTAGATAGCTGAGTACCGACGTAGCTAGCTAGCTCGATAGATAGACAGCTAGCTAGCTGGCTTAGTACCGGCGTAGCTAGTTAGCTAGCTAGCTAGCTAGCTAGCTAGCTAGCTAACTAGCTTTCCGTGTAGAGAGGTAGCTAGCTAGATAGCTGGCGAGCTATATATTTGTATTTCTTTATCTTTATTTAGATTTATATTTATTTATATCTGTTTATATTTGTTTATATTTATTTATTTTTATTTTTATTTATTTATATTTATTTTTTTGCTGTTCTCAGCCACCCTCCGCTTAAATATATTTTCTTATTGCATTTTAAAGTCTACAAACATCATTTAAAAATATATAAATATAAATATATATATTATATTTATATTTATGTAAATATAAATATAATATATATATTTATGTAAATATAAATATAATATATATATTTATATAAATGCGCTTATGTTTATCTCAAAATAAATGCATATATATATATATATGCATTTATAAATATATATCTATATATATATCTATACACATGAACAGATGTATATATATAATATATATTGTAATATTATATATTACATATAATATATAATATAATATATATTATATATATATCTGTTGTTATAAACAACGTGAAAAACAAAACTCGTACTTATTATATAATAAATATATAATATATTTTATATATTTTATATAATATATATATATATATATAATTAAGTATATATATAT